CCCCAAAACCCCAAAACCCCAAAACCCCAAAACCCCAAAACCCCAAAACCCCAAAACCCCATCTTAAGTTGTACTACATATTATAAAGTATTATTCCAAATGGAGCATAAAGAGAGAAGCAATAGTAAAGATACGCACAAAGAGAAGAAGGAAGTTTCAAGAGCTCAGAAGCAAGCCCACGGAGCTCTGAGACAACTTCTCATCGTATCATGCCTATGCATTATCTTTATGTGAATTGAGATTGTAGGAGGGTATTTAGCACATTCGATTGCTATAATGAGCGATGCTGCTCATCTCCTTTCTGATTTCTCAGGGTTCTTGATTTCAATGTTTTCTATTTGGATAGGAACAAGACCAGCCTCCGGAAATATGAGCTTTGGATACCACAGAGCTGAAGTTATAGGAGCGCTTGGTTCTATTTTGTTGATTTGGGGACTTACAGCCTGGCTTGTGACTGAAGCTATCCATAGAGTCTTACAACCTGAGGCTGTTGATGGCAAGATCATGCTTATCACTTCAGTAATTGGGCTTATTATTAACTTATGTATGATGAAAGTTTTACATTCTGGGCACGGTCATTCTCACGGGCACTCTCATGGCCATTCTCACGGACACTCTCATGGCCATTCTCATGGGCACTCTCACGGGCACTCGCATGAAGGCATAAAAGAGAAACCTGATAAAGCTAATGATCTAGAAAATCAGGACCAAGATGAGTATAAGAAGTTGGACGTACAAGTTGATATGAAAGAAGGTTACAGAAAGTTGATTAGTGACGAAAACGACCATATTGGTCAGGCTAATGATGAAGATGGCCATTCCTCTCATAAAGGAAATAATGCAACTAAAACATCTGAAGATAATCGTGTTCATAAGAGGAATCTTTACATTGATGAAGGGGAAGATGGAAACCAAAGCAATCATGAGAGCGATTCTGGTACTGAGATGGATGATAACCATCATCATAATCATCCAACCGAAGAGGAAAACATCAATATCAGAGCAGCCTTTATTCATTTGATAGGGGATATAGTTCAATCAATTGGAGTCATAATTGCTGCGATCATTATTTTCTTTTATCCTGAGCTACAAATAGTAGACCCAATCTGCACTTTCTTGTTTTCAATCTTTGTGATAATTACAACTCTGAGAGTCACCAAGGACTGTATCAAGGTCCTTATGGAAGGTGCTCCTAATAATATCAAAGTAGACGAAATAGAAAGAGATTTACTTGACTTAAAAGGTGTAGAGGAAGTTCATGATATTCACGTCTGGTCACTTTCAATGGGTAAAGTAGCACTATCCGCTCACATTACAAGCGCCAAACCCTTATCAACTCTCAAAAGAGCCACCAAATGAATGAGGAAGAACTACGGAATTACTCATACAACAATACAGGTTGAAGCACAAAGTGATATGAAACACTCTTTTGAATGCTCTCATGATTTGCATGAATAAACATTGAGTCAACTTAATATAAAGCAAAGGGGTTTTGGGGTTTTGGGGTTTTGGGGTTTTGGGGTTTTGGGGTTTTGGGGTTTTGGGG